CGGCTCGCTTCGCGCGCGTGGAGTTCCGCCATTTTGCATTTATTCATATATACCCATCATTTTCAATGTAGGTTTAGTGTAAGTCCACAAAGGTTTTGAATAAAGCTACAATTTATAAACTAATACTTTGAATGCCTTCTTCAAAAATCATGATAAAAAAATTGTTGTTCTGAGAAATGTCTCTTTCTTTGATTGTCCTACATTTGTACTTGCAGCAAACCGCATTGATCCGCATTTTAAGCTACCAATAAAGCGATGTTGCAAAATAATAACCTTTAGTTATCCATCTTTTAAAAATATATCCAATGGATTTACATTTCTACAAAATCCTATCAAGTGATTATTCTAATAAAAAAAGTAAGAATAGTAAGTAAGTAAGTAAGTAAGTAAAAATGACAGTTCATAAAAGGAGCCTTGCAGCTCTCGCTGTAAATGAATTTGCATGTCTTTGCGTCCTTGACTTTGGTATTGCTACTGAACCGGGGTTGGATCTTAAGTAAGTTATAGCCGTCTGGTATTTGGCTTAGTGAGAAAAATTTGATTTGGGTAGTTAATAACTTTAATTACACGTAATCAATGAATTGTCTTTTTCCTTTGAGTGTTTGCAGCATCAGAAGGTTTTCTTTTTTTTTTGGACGGAACACAACCTGTACAAGTTTGCATATAATGAAGTGTCTTCAATATACACTTTAATATGTAGCCTTAACCTTAGGTTAACTTTGTTAACAATAAAGACAGGATTGACAGAAGTTCTAAATCAAGTATGGTGCTTTTTCGCTGCCGTCTTGCAACTGAAGAGCTTACTGGATCCGGGACGATATTTTGGATTTAGAGAATATAGTTTAAAAGCATTTATTGGAATATCCGAGGAAAGGCGGACTACCTAAAGTTACGGCAAAACGGGCCACGAAAAACTTGCAACCTGTTTTGCAACATTGCTGCAAAAAGATTTGAATAGCGATGCTACTCGTTTCACCACCCACGAATGAATACCATGCACCCTGAATGGTTGCAAGACAGGTTCGAACGTTGGTAGCAAAACGTGCAATATCGCTATTAAACTCATTTTGCAGGAATTTTGCCCGCTTCACAGTACGGCCAAAAATTGACCTGTTTGTTAATTGCGGTACTTGAAATTAACACGACTTAAATTAACGTGCATTTTAGCAAAAAAAATCTTTCAAATAAAGAATATTAAAGCGAACAGAGGGTAAACATAAACAGTTAAGCAGTTTTTAAAATTCTTCACTTAATCAATGGAGCGGGAATTAACGATAACCAACAAAAATAACTCCACTTAAATAAATGCGAAATTTAAAAATCGCGTTAATTTCATGAAGCGTTAATATCCCACAATAAGGCAGCTTCTGAAATAAAGTTGTCTTTTGAAATATTAATCAATTAAGCGTTAGTAATTTCCCTCTCTTGTATTGATTGCTAATGACAGCTGGTCAAAGCACTCAATGAGAATGAAGAAAATCTAAATTATCCTACTATTGATAAGACTCAAACTACGACAATAGCTTCATATACACGTATAATAAAAAGTGCATGTTGATAGGTAAGTCTTATGTCACCGACTTTCTTGTTATTGTCCAGAAAGGGGTACTTGAAATGCGAAGACATGGATTTCCCTCTATTTCTGCAAGTATTCTGCATGTCGTACCTCCGGACTTTCGCGCAAGCTGGTATGTAATGCACCTTGATTTTAACTTATAACGTATTGTATTCGGAAATTACAAATTTATTCCGGTACAACGATTAATGTTAAGGTTCTAATAAAAGAAGCTCTCGCTTTCAGCATGGTCGACACCTTGCAAACTGTTACAACAGAGATTAAAGTGGAGTCGATTCTGCAAACTGTAATGGCCTTTAATTTTTCCTGGAAGCTTCTTAGTAGAATTTAGTCATTCGACGGTCTAACTTAAAGTTAAGACTACTGAAAAAGTAAACATCAAATCTACTTAATTCGAATTCCTTGTTGTTGTAACAATGAACAAGCACACCGTAATTGCAAGTGAAACTTGAGTGATAAGTACTTCGCCTAAAATATATAATCTAAAATTTCAATTCCTTTCTTATAATTTTTATCTGTTTATTTCTTCAATCCAAGAACAACCTTGGAGCTCTATTTATAGAACTCGTTTAGGAATGGCTGTGCGTTCCAGATAGAACTAAACTGAGAATCGAAGCTTGTTGCTTTTTTGAAAGCGAAAACCGGAGAACTCGGAGATTGAAACGTCTAGTTGCAAAAAATACATAATATAAGCAAAAGAGACGTTTACACTAGACCGTTTCCTCCGGGAAAATAGTTTGGGATGGGCCGGTTCTGCGTTACGTTTGAATCACTTTTTTTTGCAGTAACTCGATATGAATCGCTAATGAATTGCTCAAAGAGTGGAAAAACTTCGATTTCATGGTAAGCTTCCTTGTAGAAAGAAATCGTGAAACAATTTGACCACTTTTAGCCTTTTAATAAAACCATCTCACATGAAATAAGTTCAGCGATAATGACGACTCAACTCATCAATACTTTGACAAAAAAAAAATTAAAAGATATCGACTTCAACATTTAAGCGTTTGTAACCTCGGACTATCTGATTATTTCATGTTATTGCCAAATGCTAGCTGCAGTTCTTCCCGAAGCTTCGTAGTTATGGCATTGAAACCGAAACAGTTTGTCATAGTTTAGGGCACCTGTGAGTATAACGGAGCTAAACGTAACTTGAAAAGGTAAAAGGTTGAAAAAAAGGTTCTGCGATTTACGTCAATCCTCCATTTTCTTTCCCTTGGGCAATTAATTAGCGTGTCACCACAATAATTATGAAAAGTGAGTGCCCAACCCAAGCTACCGCAAAATTCCGAAAACAAGCCCCTCCATTTATAAGCCCCTCCAAAAATAAGCCCCTTAAAAAAGGGCCTTTGAACAATATAAGCCCCTGGCCTTATTTTGCGTTGGTTGTTTTCTTTCTAAGATAACTGCCGTACACTACGATTCAAGTCAGCCATGAAAGGATATCACCTACAGAATCATGTGTTTAGAACCATTCAAGTGCAGGGGGGACGCAATTGTGACGCAAAGTGTTACATGGAAAGTAACTGTATATCGTTCAATGTCGTATCTTCCCAAGTGAATGGAACAATGACTTGCGAGTTAAGTAATTCTGACCATGAACTTCATCCAGGATCACTAACACGTCGTCATGGGAGTATCTATCAACCAATTGAGGTTAGTTTATAAAGGCCACCTTTAATTATACAAGAACCGCTCTGGGTTACAGTTTAGTTGAAGAGAAGAAATAATCTTTCTTCATGAAATTAAGAGCGCCTTAACTACATGCGACTTTCGTATCGGTGCCCCTGTTTGCTGTAATTCAATTTTATCGGGAGTTAAATTTATTTTCCTTTGTTTTGGGAGTGGCGAGTGTATAATGACTTCAGAGTAAATTTCAAGAATGCTCTAACTTTTCCAAGGGCTTTTTCATGAAAAGGAAATAGGCCAATTCCGAGTTGCTCCAAGCCAGTCTAAGTGCGAAATCATAAATATGACTGATGATATTTTATATTCTCATTCGACCACGCCCAAATATACGTTCCCACAAGCTAGTCTAAGTGCGGAATCATAAATATGACTAATGATATTTTATATATTCTCATGCAAATAAAACTCAGTTTCACAAGAAGGATTTTGCACTTAACCTCATTTCGAAAGTGATAGTTTTAAGGCCGATACACACGAGGGGTTTTGCTCCCGGAGCATGCTCCAGGCTCATTTTGCACGTGTCAGTACACACGAGGAAGCATTTTCAAGTTCGCTCAATTTGCCCCGGGAGCTTGCTCCCAAATATTTAACCTGTTTAATATCGTGGAGCATTTTGCGGGGTGGAAATTCTGCTCTCGAGGATGAAGTATACCCATGAAATCGTTGATACACACGGAGGAGCTTTGCTCCCGGATCGTGCCCCTGGAGCATGCTCCGGAGCAAAATCCCTAGCATGCATCGGCCTTTAAAAACTTGGAAATGGCCTACTGAGTCATCACTTCGTGGCACGCCTCAATTTAATATAAGGTTTTGGCAGTGTCAATCGTCGGCGAGGGGGAGTAGAAGGGCGGTCAAAAGCAGGACTAAAAAGATCCTAACGGATGATCAGGCCGAATTAATCGCAGCTAGAGTTTCCTTCAATCTCATTAGTGATTTTCTACAGCCAAAATTAGCCTTCTTTTTCTTTAGAACGCTTGTGTGAATAATCCATGCCCACCAAATTCAACATGTCAAAACGGATTCTCCAGTAAAGGGTACAGATGCATTGAAANGACACATACCGTCAAACATCCAAGTACTGAACACGCACAATTAATACAACTGACAACACGATCACCACAAACCAGCCAAGAAATACTGACCAGCCAGATACTACGAACAACCAAAACAGTGTCTACCAAACCTCAAACCTCCATCCAAGTGACACATACCATCAAACATCCAAGTACTGAACACGCACAATTAATACAACTGACAACACGATCACCGCAAACCAGCCAAGAAATACCGACCAGCCAGATACTACGAACAACCAAAACAGTATCTACCACACAAGGAAATCAGCCCTCGTCGATAATATTTGCAACCACTGAACCGATGATGAATACGCTCCAAGTGGAGCAACCTAGAACATGCCACGACGTTAAATCGTACATTAGTGGATGGTTCTTCATCGATCCTGATGGGGATGGAGGCGAGGCTCCATTTGAAGTGTACTGTAACATGGTTGAAAAAGGAGGCGTTGGAGTTACAGTTATAAGTCACGATACTGAGAATACGACGCACGTGACTGGATGCGATCCTCCCGGATGCTATTCACGTGACGTTCATTATAAAGGTGCCAACCCCACTCAGCTAGCAGCGTTAGCTAACCTGTCCTCACATTGCGAACAGTTTATAAGATACGACTGTCGAAAGTCTATCTTGTTGTTTAAAGGAAGAGCGTGGTGGGTTTCTCGACAGGGAATACGGATGGATTACTGGGGCGGTTCTGATAAACATCGAAAGTGTGGCTGTGCCATTCTGGGAAGCTGTGATCAACCTAACATAAACTGTAACTGCAACTTAAACGATGACGTATGGCGTGATGACAGCGGACTGCTTACCGACAAAAATTTTCTCCCTGTCTCCCAGTTAAGGTTTGGAGACGTAGCAGGTGGGCAGGAAGAGGGCTATCACACTTTAGGAAAGTTAAAATGTTACTGAACCCTCGAAATCTTTAATTCCTTCCTCAGAGTCTAGTTGACTGTATTGGACAAACCTCAAACCGTTATCGAATTAACAAAAGGCTTAAAAAAAAACAACAAACAAACAAACTTAGGGGCTTCCGCTAAACGGGAATAAAATCGTGAGTGGAGTGTAATCATTTTAATGTGCATAAAAGCTTATTTGTGTGTTTGATGATGTAGCTGTTTTTTCTTTTTCTTTTTTTTTTTCAACATTCCAGGAATAAAAGATTAGCAAAGTAAATGTTTCTGATAGGTATCTACCATGAGAAGAGAGGTGAAATACGTAAACACGCTAAAGAAAAGCTTTGAAATTAGAATTACGCACCACAAAAAGGGATGAGCTGTGTACAGAATTTCTTATTTCCTGAGTCCTCGACCCTCAACCGTAAAATAAAAATTAATCAAAAGCTTTACCTTCTGCCCTTTTGTTCTTGTTGTTGTTCTTTTGCCGTGAGTAATCATAACATCACCTCCATTTTTGTGCGTTTATCCTTTTATTGATTATTGACGTTCTCTTATGGCTTTGATTTATAACATTGCCTTTCTTGCTGGAAGTTGCATAGCGCGTATTGATGTTTAACGTAAATACGTTAACACATTTACCTCAGTTAAGGCTGAAAAAGAGCATTCGTGAGCTAAAAGTCATGCGTAAATTTCAGTCCAAAGTTCGGGTTAAATAGCTTATGCAATTAGAGTATCGTATATTATACTTTCAATTCGGTTTTTAAGTTCGGTTTTGACTTTTTTGTGATATCTCACGTTTAGTTGGTCTCTTTTTGCAACTACAGTGTAGTCCTGGTGTCCGTTTTAACCGGGCCCTCACGAGCAACATGTTTTATTGATATATAGGCGATGTTACACAGAAAGATTCTTCTCAAAGATTTTTCACGCAACGCCTTTTGAGCCCTTTTTCGCTTCCTTTGTTCAGCTAAAAATTGTTCCATGCAAGGGTTTTTGCTTGCACTTTTGCTGCGCAAAAAGGTTTCTTTGTGAATTGTCTTGTGTAACACCTCCTTACACACTTTTAACACCAACTTGCAACTTTCGCAGGCGAAAATAATCATGTGTTTAGAACCATTCAAGTGCAGGGGGGACGCAATTGTGACGCAAAGTGTTACATGGAAAGTAACTGTATATCGTTCAATGTCGTATCTTCCCAAGTGAATGGAACAATGACTTGCGAGTTAAGTAATTCTGACCATGAACTTCATCCAGGATCACTAACACGTCGTCATGGGAGTATCTATCAACCAATTGAGGTTAGTTTATAAAGGCCACCTTTAATTATACAAGAACCGCTCTGGGTTACAGTTTAGTTGAAGAGAAGAAATAATCTTTCTTCATGAAATTAAGAGCGCCTTAACTACATGCGACTTTCGTATCGGTGCCCCTGTTTGCTGTAATTCAATTTTATCGGGAGTTAAATTTATTTTCCTTTGTTTTGGGAGTGGCGAGTGTATAATGACTTCAGAGTAAATTTCAAGAATGCTCTAACTTTTCCAAGGGCTTTTTCATGAAAAGGAAATAGGCCAATTCCGAGTTGCTCCAAGCCAGTCTAAGTGCGAAATCATAAATATGACTGATGATATTTTATATTCTCATTCGACCACGCCCAAATATACGTTCCCACAAGCTAGTCTAAGTGCGGAATCATAAATATGACTAATGATATTTTATATATTCTCATGCAAATAAAACTCAGTTTCACAAGAAGGATTTTGCACTTAACCTCATTTCGAAAGTGATAGTTTTAAGGCCGATACACACGAGGGGTTTTGCTCCCGGAGCATGCTCCAGGCTCATTTTGCACGTGTCAGTACACACGAGGAAGCATTTTCAAGTTCGCTCAATTTGCCCCGGGAGCTTGCTCCCAAATATTTAACCTGTTTAATATCGTGGAGCATTTTGCGGGGTGGAAATTCTGCTCTCGAGGATGAAGTATACCCATGAAATCGTTGATACACACGGAGGAGCTTTGCTCCCGGATCGTGCCCCTGGAGCATGCTCCGGAGCAAAATCCCTAGCATGCATCGGCCTTTAAAAACTTGGAAATGGCCTACTGAGTCATCACTTCGTGGCACGCCTCAATTTAATATAAGGTTTTGGCAGTGTCAATCGTCGGCGAGGGGGAGTAGAAGGGCGGTCAAAAGCAGGACTAAAAAGATCCTAACGGATGATCAGGCCGAATTAATCGCAGCTAGAGTTTCCTTCAATCTCATTAGTGATTTTCTACAGCCAAAATTAGCCTTCTTTTTCTTTAGAACGCTTGTGTGAATAATCCATGCCCACCAAATTCAACATGTCAAAACGGATTCTCCAGTAAAGGGTACAGATGCATTGAAAACAAGGAGAACCCATCAGGTACTAATCAATATACATTTTTTTAATTTCAATACTTTGTATAAATGAAAACAATTAAAGGGATGAATCGGAGGATAACTGAGATGGGTGGGCTTCTACGTAAGAATTTCTTCTTCTTCTTCTTCCTCTTCTTCTTCTTCTTCTTCTTCTTCTTCTTCTTCCTCTTCTTCTTCTTCTTCGTCTTCTTCTTCTTCTAATCCTTTTTGAGTGTTCCTCTATGAAGATTCTGGACCACCGTTCTTCAGAAATTCTTAGGAACTAGATTGAGAAGAGTTTTATTTCAACCTTCTTAGGTCACGATGTCTCTTCTCTTTTTCAGTGTCGAG